TTGGCCTCTGCCGGCCGACAGATCCTTCCCATGCTCTTCCCTGATCTCGCATCTATCTCCACCATCGCTCACCTGGCCACGCACCTGCGCACACTCGACGCGAGCTGGCGCGCTGCCTGCACTGAGGCCCAGCTTAGTGTGTTTCATCTCCCCTTCGGCTCCGCGCCAGACCTCCCTGACAAGCACAGTCTGCTCTGCAGTATTGGTAGGATCTTTGATATGGACATGGATGAGATTAGCTCTGCATTGTATGCTCTGTATGTCAATGAGTCTAATGTGACTGGTTCCTATTACCCCGTGTTTCCTAGTGTAGGTGTGCCCAGTGTGCCTAGTTTTGGCTCCCCTACTGCGTCAGGCGTAGGACCACTTGCTTAGACTTGGCTCCACTCTAGCTCCTCCGCCCCCACCCGCAACTACCGCACTCTCCTTCACTCTCAACTGTGGCGCACCTCGGTGTTTCTTTCGGGACCACACTACGCTGACGTCGCTTGCCGTCCCTGCCGCCGTTGCTCTTGAAGACCCTTCTTCAGGTCCGGTAGTCGCCCGTAGTTCCACCACCCTCCCCTGTCCGCCAATTCCTTCAAGCTCTCTTACAGGCCTACACATCCCTTCATTCTCATGGAACCTAGTTGGTGTCGGCTGCCTTCAGGACCTCGGCGTCACCAGTACGTTCCCTGGTCACGAGAGGTACGCTGTCTGTACCGAAGCCGCCATTGGTGCCCCCCTCACCACGTTCCCCCGGGACCCGGTGTCTGGCCTATTCACGCTGGACACCAGGTCCCCCCCGGTTGGGACGCCCCCCCAGGTGGCAACGTCTCTCCAGGTTGCTGCGGCTTGCTTGTGCCAGTCGCTTACTCACCCGTCGCCTCTGTGGCACCACCAACTAGGTCACACCGCCCTCACACGTCTCCATCACATGTCTCAGCATGGTCTTGTCTTAGGTCTCCCTACGTCGTTCCCTTCACTCCCCTCCTCGGCAACGCCGCCATGCACCCCCTGCGTCGAGGGCCGGCTCTGCCGTGCCCCTCACTCCTCCTCGTTCCCCCCCACCACAGCACCACTGCAGACCCTGCACATGGACGTCTTGGGCCCCATCCATGGGCCGCGTCCTGAGCGCTACTTCCTAGTGCTTGTCGACGACTACACGCGCTACACGACGGTGTTTCCCCTGGAGCAGAAAGTCGACGTGCGTGACGTTCTTATCGCGTGGCTTGTCTCTGTGTGTGTTCACCGAGGTCTCCCTGTGTTGTGTCTTCACTCCGACCGTGGTGGCGAGTTCGCCTCTGGCTGCCTTGGTCGCTTCTGTCGTGCGGAGGGCATCACCCAATCGTACACCCTGCCGGACTCCCCGCAGCAGAATGGGGTCACTGAGCGACGCATCGGTTTGGTCATGGAGGTGGCTCGTACCTCCATGATCCATGCCGGTGCACCTAATTTTCTGTGGTCGTTCGCTGTTTGCTACGCCGCCCACCAGCTTAACCTGTGGCCGCACCCTCAGCAGTCGCGGGTTTCGCCGACCCTACTCTGGACCAGGTCTCCTGGTGACGCGTTTGCGTTCCACGTCTGGGGCTGCCTTGCTCACGTTCGTGCCTCTGGCATGGACAAGCTCACAGGCCGCACTATCCCCTGTGTCTTTCTAGGTTTCCCCCTCGACTCGTCTGACTGGCAATGCTACCATCCGTCGTCTCACCGTTTCTTTCACTCCCGCGACGTCACCTTTGACGAGTCCGTCTTCTTCTACCACCGCTTTCCCCACCGTGGTCCCTCGGTCACCACCCCCCTGTTCCTTGTTCCCCCTCCCCCGGTCACCCCTGCTCCCCCCCGTCCCTGCCCTTCCCCGTCTGGTGTGTCTCATGTCACCCCCCTCCCGTCGGTTGTCCCTGCCGAGGAGTCTGCTGACTCTCACGGCTCGGCAGAGTCCCTTCCACCGCGTGTCCCCGCCCCGGTCTCTCGTCCCCTGTCGCCGACGTTGCTGTCGCAGCCGCAGCCGCCTCCGCAACTGTCGTCGCTGCCCCAGCCTGAGTCGCCGTTGTCACCGCCGCTGGGGTTTGTGCGTTCCGGGGGTGCTGGGGAGCATGTCAGAGTGGGTACTGGAGCGGGTTCCCATTCTGGGGGTGCTGGCGTGGAGCTTCTCAGAGGGAGCCATGGTGCCGCTGGAGGTTCAGGTATTGGCGTCAGGCAGCAGGCGCCGCAGTCGCCGCCGATGTCCACTCTTCGCCTACTCGGCCTTCCTTCCCTTGACCGACCGTCGGTGCCTCCTCCGTCGCCACCGCCTCCTCCACTGCTGATCTACGGCCCCGTGTTTCCTCCAGCGGACTCTTCTCCATCTCGTTTTCCTCCTCGTTCTCCTCCTGTGTCTCCTCCCCTCACTCCTGACCCGACTCCTCCGTCTCACGTCTGGGCTCGTCATTCACTCGTGCTCGTCCTACCTCGCCTGTTCCACATTCTCACCCTATGTTGCTTCACTCCCACGCATCTTGTGCTCCTCCGCTCCTCCCGTCTCCTCCTCTGTGATCACTCGCTGTGGCCCCACCTTCGTTCTCTGACTTCCTCCGTGCCGGGCATCCCCTTGTTCCTCGTGTCCTTGCCTCTCTTGTTACCGACCCGTCCGTTCCTGTCTTGAGTCTGTCAGCTCTTGTTGCTGCTGTCACTGACTTCGCCGCTACGCGCCACCTTGACTACGCCACTGCTCTGGTCCCTGACCCTGCCTGCCCTCCGTCCGTCGGGGGTGTGGCTGCCCTTGGCAGTGACGTCCTAGAGAACAGACAGTACGAGCTTACTTTCCTGTCAGAGGCCGCTCCCCATCTCTGTTCCATGCTGCTAGTCCCTGAGGGTGACCCAGACGCTTTCGACATCCCGACCGCTCGACTTACGCTGAGGCCACCTCGAGACCTGGACCTCTCAGTGGATAGCTGCGATGGAGCAGGAGATGGCATCTTGGAGATCCACCGGTGCCTTCGTCGACGCAATTCCCCAACCTTGGGTGAACGTAGTCGATGGCCGATGGCTCTTCAAGGTGAAGCGCCCTCCTAGGAGAGCCGCCTGTCTTCAAGGCGCGTTACCTTGCTCATGGATTTAATCAGCGTGAGGGTGTTGACTTCTTTGAGACCTTCGCCCCGGCCCTGAAGATGACTACTCTTCGGGCACTGCTATACGTAGCAGCAAAGCGTGACTACGAGTTGCACTCCCTCGACTTCTCCATAGCTCTCCTCCAGGGCAGTCTACATGAGCAGGTCTACCTGTGCCGCCCCCAGGGCTTCTCCGGTACCTTTCCCCCTGGTACCGAGTGGCTCTTCTGGCGCCCCGTCTACGGTCTGCGCCAGGCGCCCCGTGAGTGGCACGACACGCTGCGTGCTACACTTGCTGACCTGCAGTTCTTCCCGTCGTCTGCAGACCCCTCGCTCTTCGTCCGTTCCGGCCAGACTTCGTTCTACATTCTTGTTTACGTAGACGATCTGGTTTTTTCTACTGCAGATAGAGACGCGCTGGCCTCCGTGAAGTCCGAGCTGCTAAGGAGACACACCTGCACTGACCTAGGAGAGCTGCGCTGCTACCTTGGCTTGCAGATCTCCAGGGACAGAGCCGCACGCACCATCACTCTCACACAGTCACACTTGGTGCGACAGGTCCTTCAGAGGTTTGGCCTTGAGTTCTCTTCCGCACAGCCCACCCCTCTGCTAGTAGACCACAGACTCTCAGCTCCAGTCCCTGAGGAGGTTCTAGAGCCTAGTGGTCCTTAGGCAGAGCTGGTGGGTTGCCTCGTGTACCAGATGACTTGCACTCGTCCAGATCTCGCATACCCTCTAAGCATCTTGGCCCGCTTTGTGGCCTCCGGCAGACACTGACCACAGCACTAGTCGGCAGCTAAGAGGGTTCTGCGTTTTCTAGCAAGTACATTGGGCATGGGGCTAGTGCTAGGAGGACGCAGGCCAGTGGTCCTTATCGAGCACACTGACGCTTCTTGGGCGGACGACGCCGAGACTCTCAGGTCCTCCCAGGGCTTCTAAAGCCTTGGTGCAGGTGATGTCTCATGGAGGTCCACCCGCTCGTCTTCTGTTGCCCATTCTAGCTGTGAGGCTGAGATCAACGTCGGCGCCATGGCGGCACATGAGCTATGCTGGCAGACTTTCTTGCTCACAGACTTTGGTGAGCCGCCTAGCTCTGCCCCGGTCCTGTACGCTAACAACATGGCCATGATCCTCCTGTGTCAGGAGCCCAGACTCGAGGGCAGAGCGAAGCACATCCAGCTGCAGTACTTCCTCCTGCACGCGTTACAGCAGCGTCGCCAGGCCCGCGTAGTACACTTGGCCTCCGGTGCCAACATAGCTGATATCTTTATGAAGGCACTTGCGCCTAAAGATCATCAGCGGCACTGCGTACAACTCGGTCTCGTGCCTGTAGCACCTCATTTGCTAGGACCTTGATTTTGTATAACTCTTTATATATTATCCTGACTGTCCTTGTGGCTTTCTCCCAGTGGGTGGACTAGTAGTCAGACTTTCTTGCTCACAGACTTTGGTGAGCCGCCTAGCTCTGCCCCGGTCCTGTACGCTAACAACATGGCCATGATCCTCCTGTGTCAGGAGCCCAGACTCGAGGGCAGAGCGAAGCACATCCAGCTGCAGTACTTCCTCCTGCGCGCGTTACAGCAGCGTTGCCAGGCTCGCGTAGTACACTTGGCCTCCGGTGCCAACATAGCTGATATCTTTATGAAGGCACTTGCGCCTAAAGATCATCAGCGGCACTGCGTGCAGCTCGGTCTCGTGCCTGTAGCACCTCATTTGCTAGGACCTTGATTGTGTATAACTCTTTATATATTATCCTGACTGGCCTTGTGGCTTTCTCCCAGTGGGTGGACTAGTAGTGCCGCCCTGGTCTTGATCTTGCCTTGTTTTTAATCTTTTGACTGGTCTTTAGACCCCTGCCTCAGAGGTTGGACTAGTAGTGCCGACCTGAGCTGTTGTCTCTCACCGGGCACTGCCCCTATCTAGTCTAGGGGGTGTGTTTAACATATGTGTGTATGTTTAGTAGACTACATAGGGTCATGCAATAGAGAGTACAACCCATTAGCTATATACCCCTGTATGCTCCCATTCTAGTCATTCATTCTAACTTTGATACTAGTTGCCCAGCGGTCATCATGATATCTCGGCGATGAAGGCCTGTATAGCGTCAGCTGTTGTGTTGGATTTTTGAATAAATTCGATCGCTTTTTCCTGGGCGGTTTGTAAGTGGGTCACAAACTGTTGGGAACGGGACACGGGGTTGTGGATGTGAGTTGTCGTCGGTATGGTGGCATCCATCCCGTAGTTGAGGAAAAACGGCGAGTGATTAGTCATAGCAGATAGGGTGTTGTTGTAGGAAAATTCCAGCATGGGCAGGAATGCTTGCCACCCGACAGTATCTGGGCAGTTGGTGCGAATCAGCTGCTCCATGGTCTGATTGGTGCGGTCAGTTTGTCCGTCGGTTTGTGGGTGGTAGGCGGATGAGAATTGTAGGTGGGTGCCGTACTGTTCCCATGTCTCGTGCCAGAACTTGGACGTAAACTTGGGGTCACGGACGCTGATTATCGCCGATGGTAGGCCGTGTATACGAACAATGGTGGAGATGAAAAGCTTTGCGGTATCTTTGGCTGTGATTGTCATGCGACAGAGTGCAAAATGTGCCATCTTCGTCAGACGATCGACGACGACGAGGACGGCGTTGTTGCCATTACCATTGGCCGGAAGTCCTGTGACGAAGTCCATCGTCACATGTTGCCACGGTTGCTGGGGTGGCTCGAGCGGTTGCAGCAGTCCAGCTGGCCGCTGTCGAGAAGACTTCATGCGCTGGCAGCTCGGTCACGCTGATACGTATCTGTGCACATCAGACACCAAGTCAGGCCAATAATAAAAACGGTGAAGTAACTTTTGGGTTTTATCAACTTCTTTATCAATAAATGACCGGAGAGATTAGAATGTTGGACTTCTTGAATTAGTAATTCACGGAGGAGTCTGTAGGCGGGAACCCAGATACGGTTAGTACCGGCTTTTAGGAAATAGATTCCTTTGGTCGTGGTGACTTGCTGGTGGAGGTTGCAGGTGAAAAAGAGGTCTGTGCTGTATTCGTGGGTAAATAGTCCGGTGAGCAGTGGGTTGGATTTTGCAAGGATGATGGAGGTGAGGTGGGCGGACGGTCGTGTCAGTGCGTCGGCGATGTTATTTGCCCCACGTTTGAACGTGATGGTGTAGTGGAAGTTTCTCTCGAGGAAGTCCAGCCAGCGAATATATCGTGGATTGAGGTTCGGCTGCGCGCGGAGGTACTGTAGGGATTTATGGTCTGTCCGTACTATCACGTCGGCTCCTGTCAAGTAGCAGCGCCACACTTTAAATGCGTGCACGATGGCGAGCATTTCTTTGTCGTGGACGGGGTAGTTGCGCTCAGCTGCCTGCAACTTTCTGGACTCATACGCGATTGGTTGGAGTCCGTCGTCAAAATCCTGTAACAGTATTGCACCGATAACAAAATCACTAGCATCCGTCAAGACTTCGAACGGTCGAGGTGGGTCAGCGATTCGGAGCATCGGGGATGACATCAGAAAAAAACTGAGTTCGTCGAAAGCAGTCTGCTGTCTCCCCCCCCCACTCGAACGTGGTGCCCTTCCGCAGCAGGTCAGTTAACGGTCCCGTTATCCCTGCCATATTGGGGATAAACCGGCGGGCGTGATTAACGAACCCAAGAAAACTTTGCAGCTCCTGCACATTCGTGGACGGCTTCCCGTCACGGATGGTGGTGATCTTCTTCGGGTCGATTTTAATGCAGTCCGCTCCGACTACGTATCCCAAAATATCCAGTTCGGATTTTAGGAATTCACACTTAGAGCCTTTGGTGATGAGCCGGTGTTTCTGCAGCCGTTGAAAAACTTGGTCGAGGTCCTTGAAGTGCTGTTCCTGTGTCTTGCTGAAGATGAGAATGTCATCGAGATAGACAATGACACACTTGTCGAGTAGATCTCGGAATACGCCATTCATGGTGAGTTGGAAATTTGAGGGCACGTTCGTGAGGCCGAACGGCATCACTGTGTACTCGTAGCTGCCATATCGGGTTCGGAACGCCGTCTTGTGGCAGTCGTCAGCGAAGACTCTGATCTGATGGTAACTGCCTCGTAAGTCAATTTTTAAGAATAAGCAAGCCCCACTAAGTTGTTTGAGAAGATCGTCCGCGCGTGGGATTGGGTAGCGAGATTTGATGGTTCGCCAATTCAGTGCCCGGTACTCAATGCACATTCGCAGCCCTCCGTCTTTTCTGGGCGTGAACAGGATTGGCGTTGCGAACGGGGACGTGCTGGGTCGAATGAACCCCTTCTCCAATAGGTAATCCAGCTGGCCACTCAACTCCGTGAGCTCGGGCTGAGTCAAGCGCCACTGTGTCCTGACGGTTGGCTGCGCGCCAGGTTCCAGGTCAATTTTGTGGTCTTGGGGGCACTCAAATGGCAATCCTGCTGGCAGAATATCCAGAAAAATATCCAGGTACTGTCGAATCAGCGCAGCAAGCTTGGCAGAGACAATGGCACAAAGCGTGTCAATGTCCTTTGGCGTGTCGTCGACCGTCGCTCCGGTCAGATGGACGGTGTACAAATCAGCTCCCCGTTTAACTGCTCAATGGAGGGCGATGGCGTTGACACGTGTCAACACCGGATCCCTCCTGCGCCAGCACGGAAGTACGCGCCACCCATTCGCAGAGTGCACGCTGCATTCGCCAGTTGTCCAGTCGATCCTCGGGTTGTATTTTCGCAACCAATTACACCTGAGAAGAATATCGCATCCGTCAAGCGTCGTAGCCAGCATGGGCATGCTGAATCCGAAATCGTCGCCACACTTCATCTGCACCATCCGCGCTCGTTCTCGAATTGCAAGTCGAGTCCCGTCCACTATTCGCGCATCAATTTCGGGTAAACACTTCTCCAACGTCAGTTTCAACGGCTTCGCTGTTGTCACGTGTATGAGGGTGTGACTAGCCCCGCCCTCCACAAATTTCTTTATTTTTTTGCCGTTCACCTTGCCTTGAATCAGCACAGGTGATCTTCGGGTTCACTCTCGTTATTCGTCTGTTATTCGTTCGATAGCATGTATCGGTACCACAACTTGGTGGGAGCGCTGAAGTTCGGGCGACAAAGCCTTGTCAGTAGGGGGCCCGTCTGCTACTGACTTTCCCCATTTCCCGGCTTCTCCTTGTCGTTCTTCGTCTTCTTGGGTACCGTCGGGCAGTACTTAGCTCGATGGCGGGCATGTCACATCGAAAACATAGCCCGTGAAATACTTCATCGGGCGCAGACACGCCATTGATCGTGGGGCGGGGAGACTGCCCGCGAAAACGACCAACATCCCTGTTGTTCTTTCTCGCCCACGGCTGTAGTGCATCGGTTGCTGACGCCAGTTGGACACCTTCATCGAACGTCTTGGGCCGGGACCAGTGCAACTCGTAATGAATATAAAAATGCAGTCCGCTGATGTACTTTTCCCGCCTTTCCGCTTCGCTGAGGTCGTCCACTTGATCCGCAAGTGCCGAGAACAACGCAGTGTAATCTTGAACAGTAGTCACCTGCAGCCAGCTGCGCAGCTTCATGCGAGCATCGTTTGAGGCGGATGAGTGCTCAAAACGAGAACACCGTTTGGCGAAGCTCGGTGTTCTACGGGCGGCAGTCGTGCGACTGCGGACGTGTTGGCGACGTAGGGATGAAGGAGGCCAACGTGGAATGCGTCGTAAATGCGCCACTCGTCCGGTAGTAATAATTTCGCCATGACAGGTGTCACCATCTTGAGGATGCGGAAAGGCCCACATAATCTTGGGCGGAGTTTTGATGGCAGGGGCAGGCGGAGGTTCTTCGTCTTGGGAAGGACTAGTTGCCCAGCGGCCATCGTAATATTACAGCGATGAAGGCCGGTGTAGCGTCGAACCGTAGTGTTGGACTTTCAAATAAATGCAATAGCTTTTTCCCAGGCGGTCTGTAAGTCGTGAACGAATTGCTGGGATCGGGGCACTGGGTTGTCGATGTTTGTCGTTGTGGGAACGGTGGGATCCAACCCGTAGTTGAGGAAAAATGGTGAGTGAGTAGTCGTTGTGGATGGGGCATTGTTGTAGGCAAATTCCGCCATGGGCAGCAATTCCTCCCATCGGGCGGGGTCGGGGCAGTTGGTGCGTATCAGTTGTTCCATGGTCTAATTGGTTCACTCGGTCTGCTCGCCGGTTTGTGGGTGGTAGGCGGACGAGAATTGCAGGCGGGTGCCGTACTATTCCCATGTCTCTTGCCAGAACTTGGATGTGAATTTGGGGTCGCGATCGCAGATGATCGCCGATGGTAGGTCGTGGAGACGAACAACGGTGGAGATGAAGAGTTTGGTTGTTTCTTCGGCTGTGATTGTCGTGCGACAGGGTGCAAAATGCGCCATTTTTGTCAAGCGATCGACGACGATGAGGATGGCGTCGTTGCCCGTTGCGCCGGCCGGAAGTCCCATGTTGCGTCGTCACGTGGTGCCACGACTTCTGGTGTGGCTCGAGCGGTTGCAGCAATCCAGTTGGCCGCTGTCGAGAGGACTTCATCCGCTCGCAGATCGGGCACGCCGAAACATATCTCTGCACATCAGACGCCGAATCTCACTAATAATAAAAACGGTAGGGTAAGTTCTAGGTTTTGTCGACCCCGAAATAACCTGAGAGGTTAGAATCATGGACTTCGTAATTCGCCGAGGAGTCTGTAAGCGCGAACCCACATATGGCCAGTACCGGCTTTGAGGATATAAATTCCCTTAGCCGTGGTGGCTTGCTGGTGGAGGTTGCGGGTGAAAAAGGGGTCTTTGCAGTATCCGTGGGGAAACAGTCCGATGAGCAGTGGGTTGGATTTTGCAATGATGATGGAGGCGAGATGGGCGGACGGTCGTTTCAGTGCATCTGCGATGTTATTCGCCCCACGTTTGTATGAAATGGTGTAGTGGAAGTTGCTTTCGAGGAAATCCAGCCAGCGAATCTGTCGTGGGTTGAGGTTCGGCTGCGCGCGGAGGTACTGTAGGGATTTGTGGTCTGTCTGTACTGTCACGTCAGCTCCCGTCAGGTAGCAGTGCCACACTTTGAACGCGTGTACGATGGCGAGCATTTCTTTATCGTGGACAGGGTAGTTGCGCTCGCCTGCGTGCAACTTCCTGGACTCATACGCGATTGGTTGGAGTCTGTCGCCGAAATCCAGCGCCGATGGCGAAATCGCTAGCGTCCGTCAAGACTTCGAACAGTCGAGATGGATCAGCGATTCGGAGGACCGGGGGTGACATCAGAAAAGCAGGCTGCTGTCTCTCCCCCCACTCAAATGAAGTTCCCTTCCATAGCAGGTCAGTTAAAGGTCATGTTGTCCCCGCCATATGGGGAATAAATTGCCGGACGCAATTAACGACCCTGAGAAAACTCTGAATCTCCTGTAAATTCGTTGGCGGCTTCTAGGCGTGGATGGTTGTGATCTTCTTCTGGTCGATTTTTATGTCGTCCGCTCCAACGACGTGTCCCAAAACTTCATGTTCGGATCGTAGGAACTGGCATTCAGAGCCCTTGGTGATGAGTCGATTCTGCTGCAGCCGTTGCAAAACCTGGTCGAGGTCCTTGAGGTGTTGTTCTTGTGTCTTGCTGAAGATCAGTATGTCATCCAAATATATGACGACACACTTGTCGAGTAGATCTCGGAACAAGCTGTTCATGGTTAGTTGGAATGTAGAGGGCCCATTCGTGAGGCCAAAAGGCATCACCGTATACTCGCAGCTGCCGTAGCGGGTCCGGTACGCCGTCTTATGGCAGTCGTTAGCGAAAACGCGGATTTGATGGTAACTGCCTCGCAGGTCAATCTTGCTGAAGAATCGAGCCCCGCGAAGTTGGTCGAGGAGATCGTCCGTGCGTGGGATTGGGTAGTGAGATTTGATGGTTTGCCGATTCAGCGCCCGGTAATCAATGCACATTCGTAGCCCTCCGTCTTTTTTGGGCATGAACAGAATGGGCGCTGCGAACGGGGACGTGCTGGGTCGAATGAACCCCTTCTCTAGTAGGTAATCCAAATGGCTCCGCAACTCCGTGAGTTCAAGCTGAGTCAGCTGCCAATGTGTCCTGATAGTTGGCTACGCGCCAGGTTCCATGTCAGTTTTATGGTTCAGGTGGCGCTCAGATGGCAATCCGGCGGGCAGGTCATCCGGAAAAATATCCGGGTACTGTCGAATCAGCGCAGCGAGCTCAGCAGGGACATTGGAACAAAGTGTGTCAATGTCCTTAGGCGTGTTTTCGGCCGTCGCTTCAACCAGATGGACGGCGTACAAATCAGCTCCCCGTTTAACCACTCGCTGGAGGGTTATGGCGTTGACACGTGTCGACGCCGGATCCCGCCGCGCAAGCACAGAAATACGCGCCACCCATTCGCACAGTGCACGTTGCATTCACCATTTGTCTAGTCGATCCTCGGGTTGTATTTTTGCAGCCAATTGTGTCCGAGAAGGATGTCATAGCCGTCCAGCGTTGTCGCCAGCATGGGCATGCTGAATCCGAAATCGTCGCCACATTTCATCCACACCATGCGCTCTCGTTCCTGAATCGCAAGTGGCGTCCCGTCCACCAGTTGCGCGTCAATTTCGGGTAAACACTTCTCCAATGTCAGTTTCAACTGCTTCGCTGTTGTCACGTGGATTAGGCTGTGACTAGCCCCACCCTTCAAAAAAAAAAAAAAAAAAAAAAAAAAAAAAAAAAAAACCCATTCATTTTGCCTTCAACCAGCACAAGGTGATCTTTGGGTTTGCTCCCGTTATTCGTCCGAGTGGGGATGATAGCATGTATCGGGACCACAACTTGGTGGGAACGCTGAAGTTCGGGCGACAAAGCCTCGTCAGTAGGGGGCCCGTCTGCTACTGACTTCTCCCATTTCCCGGCTTCTTGTCGTTCTTCGTCTTCTTGGGCGCCGTCTGGGAGTACTTAGCTCGGTGACCTGGCTTGTCACATCGATAGCAGAGCGCGTGAAATATTTCATCGGGCGCTCACACGCCATTGATCGTGGGGCGGGGAGACTGTCCATGAAAACGACCAACATCCCTGTTGTTCTTTCTCGCCCACTATTGCAGTGCATCGGCTCCTGACGCTAGCTGGACAGCATCATCAAACGTCTTGGGACGGGACCGCTGCAACTCGTAATGAATATCAAAATGCAGTCCGCTGATGTACTTGTCCCGCTTTTCCGCTTCGCTGAGGTCGTCCACTTGGTCCGCAAGTGCCGAGAACGACGCAGTGTAATCTTGAACAGTAGTCACCTGCCGCCAGTTGCGCAGCTTCATGCGAGCGTCGTCTGAGGCGGATGAGTGCTCAAAACGAGCTCGCAGAGCTGTGCCCCACTGTTTCCACGTGCGAATCGTGGTCGTGCCGAATATTGTTTCTGCCTGTTGGTTTGAAGAATCCGAAGTCCCGTCCTTCACCTGCTTCACGCTTGTCGAAGTCCCAATTGCCAACTATCGTCGCCACCAATCCAACGCCGGTCCTCGGAGCAGCGACACGGCATAATTAATGTGTGCGTTGTCTGTATGCACACTTGCCACCGTGAAGAACAACCCCATGCTGAACAACCACCCTTGCACCGTCGTCGCCTTGTCTGAAGGGTTTAACGGGGGTGGCGTGGCCGGCTTGAGTTTAATCTTCGTCACTGTCACAGTGCGCACGTCGTCCTACTCCAACTCCCGTGCGAGCTCGTCGAGGACGGTTTCGCTCGCCGCGTCATCGGCTTCTTCCTTGACATTGTCCTTTGTGACTCCAGGCGACTCCTGACGCGCTTTACCACGCGTCTGGCGAAGCTCGGTGTTCTCCGTCCGAAGTCTCACGACTTCACTGTTCAAAATCGCCATCTGGGCTTGCATTGCCTGCATCTGAGCCATGACCTCGTCTAGCTGGGCCTGAGTTATGATGCGAATGCTACGCCTTTCGGGCAAGGGGAAGGCCATGGTAAGAAACCAAAGGGGGCGCAAACCCTATCGTAGTTGTGTGAGCTAATAACTCTAGCTCACGGACAACCGCTTTGCAGCCCCGTAGGGTTAACCACGCTTTGGAAATAAACTACCCTGAGAAAGCGATGTGAACCAGGAAAGTAGCTCTGACTCCAGATGTTATGAATAATAACTGAGAGTGCGCGGGATCATAATCACGAGTGCAAGAATGGGAACCTGGCATTATATAGCGAGAACTCTAGCTAGGCGACAAGCCCAGAGGGCTTGGTTGGGTACAGGCACGGTCGAAATGGCTTGAGGCGGCACGAGCCAGCCTCGGGGCCGCGTCGGAATCGGACCGAGCCTGGTCTTCCGAGAGTTCGGGTTTACGCGATTGCAGTATAACCCGGCGCTCATTAATTATGCCGTGTCGCTGCTCCAAGGACCGGCGTTGGATTAGTGGCGACGATAGTTGGTGATTGGGAGTCCGGGAACCGTGAAGCAGGCGAAGGACGGGACTTCGGATTCTTCAAACCAACAGGGAGAAACAATATTCGGTACAACCACGATTCGCACGTGGAAACAGTAGGGCACAGCTCTGCGAGCTCGTTTTGAGCACTCATCCGCCTCAAAGGACGCTCGCATGAAGCTGCGCAGCTGGCGACAGGTGACTACTATTCAAGATTACACTGCGTTGTTCTCGGCACTTGCGGATCAAGTGGACGACCTCAGCGAAGCGGAAAGGCGGGAAAAGTACATCAGCGGACTGCATTTTGATATTCGTTACGAGTTGCAGCGGTCCCGGCCCAAGACGTTGCAGTGGGCGAGAAAGAACAACAGGGATGTTGGTCGTTCTCGTGGACAGTCTCCCCGCCCCACGATCAATGGCGTGTCTGCGCCCGATGAAGTATTTCACGAGCTATGTTTTCGATGTGACAAGCCAGGTCACCGAGCTAAATACTGTCCGACGGTACCCAAGAAGACGAAGAACGACAAGGAGAAGCCGAGAAACGGGGAAAGTCAGTAGCAGACGGGCCCCCTACTGACGAGGCTTTGTCGCCCAAACTTAAGCGCTCCCACCAAGTTGTGGTACCGATACATGCTATCGAACGAATAACGAGCGTGAACCCGAAGATCACCTGTGCTGATTCAAGGCAAGGTGAACGGCAAAAAAATAAAGAAATTTGTGGAGGGCGGGGCTAGTCACACCCTCATACACGTGACAACAGCGAAGCCGTTGAAACTGACGTTGGAGAAGTGTTTACCCGAAATTGATGCGCGAATAGTGGACGGGACTCGACTTGCAATTCGAGAACGAGCGCGCATGGTGCATATGAAGTGTGGCGACGATTTCGGATTCAGCATGCCCATGCTGGCTACGACGCTTGACGGATGCGATATTCTTCTCAGGCGTGATTGGTTGCGAAAATACAACCCGAGGATTGACTGGACAACTGGCGAATGCAGCGTGCACTCTGCGAATGGGTGGCGCGTACTTCCGTGCTGGCGCAGGAGGGATCCGGTGTCGACACGTGTCAACGCCATCACCCTCCATTGAGTCACCGCATCCGCCTTGACACCACAGGATGACACGTGGACTTTCTTGTCCTCTGGGCCGACCGTACAAGCGAATACGACACGTGGGTCACCTCCGATTCGCTTCTGGCCCACTCAGTGCTCAAATCTTATTTGACCCGAAAACTCGTTCCCGATGTTGACCACCTTCCTTAGGAGGGGGGGTAGTGTAAGGAATTTTATTCTTTACCTGGTTGTACTGCAATCGCGTACACCCAAACTCTCGGAAGACCAGGCTCGGTCCGTTTCCGACGCGACCCCCCTACTGGAAAAAAACTTGAAGTTGCAGTACACATTCCCTGGAATGTGATGAATGCTACTGTGTGCGTTAGGTAGGAAAATCGCTGATTGGGCAGCGAGAGTGGCGAGACCTGTCAATTCATCACAACGGAAGCGGGAAAGCAGAGGGGCGGGTGCAAGTCAACATTCGACAGTGGGGGGCGGGGGGGCAGATGGGGGCAAGAAACGAAATCGGGGAAGGGGGGTCAAAACTGCAGGGGGAACGGCGAGGGCGCTACAATGGGCGGAACGTGGATAAATTCGGGGGAGACCCGAATCGGAAATTGTGTGTGGGGATGTTCTCCAACTAAGGTGAGGCGTTTTTTTTATGCGGTAATCTGATTCCCAATGTTTATAATTTGAAACACATTTCAGGGAATGTGTACCGCGTCCTCGTACCAGAACCCAAACCACCGAAATATGCGGCCACGACATTGACGAGCCATATTGAATTTCGTCAAGGCCTTCTAGCAACGTCGCAAAAGGTGACCTGTGGCGCGGTACACTTTGGCTTCTGACAAATGGTATGGGACCAGCGGGAACATGTGTGCGCGGAGGTTGGGTTCGGTAGCTGGACTGGATTCTATTTTTGTTCATATTCGAGTACTGTTTGCATAACTGTGCTTCGTGACGTCATCTGCATGTCCTTCCTGCAAAACGAACGCTTAGGACGCCCCCTAACTCAAAGGTGGTTCAAGGGACGGAACAAATGGGTTTGGGCGACGAAAAGTTTGTGTTGAGCATTGTCGTTTCCTGTAGGGAAGCAGACGATTTTGGTAAACGAGTAACTTCGTTTCGTCTGGCTCGCGCTGGCCTCGCCATGCGTTTCCTCTCCACCCCACAACCACATCCCCTATGTTTGCTCCATGTCTCCGCCTGAAACAAACACTTCTGCGATATAAGCACGTTGACTTGACGGATTTCACTTGCCCACCTCCTCCTTTCGCCCGTCTCCTTTCTTCATTATATTCTGCTGTATGATATACTTCGTTCACCATTCCTAATCCTCACCTACTTGTCTCTCCTGCCCACCCCCTCCTTTTCCTCCCCTAAGAATTCTGTCAGCAAGAAACACAGCCGCAGCAAGCAGCCGCGCCGTCGCGACAGCGCAGCGCTATAGCGAGCAGTTACACCAGTCTGCATTCGAGACAGCCGGCCGCCGCTGCATGCCACGCGTCGCTCCTCCTGCCGTCCCCTCCTGAGGTCGCAGTGCTCCGCGAGTCCCCTTGCAAAGTCTCAAAGCGTGTTTCGGTCGGAGTCGCCTTCCCCCCAGCTGCGCATGTGCCCTCCTTGCCTGCTGTTCGTGAGTGCTCCTTGCATTCCCACCGCCATGCGCCAAGGTGAGCACCGCAGAAGCCATGGCGAGCCAGGAATCGCCTAGCAGCAGCTTCAACTGCAGTGTGGCTGCGACTGTGCTCTCGCACCTCTACTATGGCGACTTGCGGCAGCACCTGCACGCTGCATGCTGCCAGCCATCGTGCTTCTGTGCGTGAGGCCTCGTAGCAGCAGCAGCTGGGAGCATGCGGGCATGAGGGCATGAGGGCATGCAGGCATGAGGGCAGCCACGTATGCCGTGAAGTAAACCATGGCCCCCTTCCCCACTCCTCTGCTCGCCCTTCGTCTGGCCTCTCCCCACCCGT